GAATGAGAGGAAGGGGCAGAGGGTCCAGATCTGTAGGAAATTTAACTCCACTACTCCCACTGTTCACAAAACTATTTATACATGAATAGCTGTATTTTTTTAATGTTCCATTTGGAAAATCTGACATGGGATTTACAAAGTTCCTGTCCTGTGTTCTGATCGAAAGGACTGCGCAGAAGCTCGAAGCCTGGAAATTCCTGTTAGACCTGTAAAACTCGATGATCTGGTGATAACTGAGATAACTGGGAAACAACGTTTTTGCCATTTAGAAAACTCTTCATTTCCAAGAAGTTTTCATCCCAGTCTGGGAGGCTTCCTAGATGTTCCACAACAGCTTAATCAAGCAGTGCACTGAAAAACAAGGGAATTTGGGCAAGGGGACAGGCTGATACCTAAGCCAAAGGTATCACAGGCACAACGTATTTTCTAGTAAACTAGCATTTTCCAGTGTCAATGCTGGAAAGCCTCTGACCAGCTGTACTGAAAACTTAGGCACCAGAGCTCCTGTCAAACAGTACCACAGTGCCCCTCCTCATCAATTAATTTGCCTAACGGGTAAGGCACCAGGAGAACAAGGAGGCTGTTTGAAGGACTCTCGGTGAGGACAAAGGAAGGCTTGTGAACTTACCCAGAAACGTCACTCGGCCACGCAGGAAGATAAATCTGACAAGGATGTTCTGGGCAGAATAATGCTCAAAACAGTTTGCAGTCTGGTTTTATCTGGTCATTGCTGAACAGTCCAGGAGCTGAGCAGTTCAGTGGCATAAAAGAATGCGCATACTACACACATCATTTATCCTGGTAAAGATTAAAAAGTGTGGTGGCAGGCTGATTTGCTACAGACCACCACCTTATCAGGTGCCCATAAGAAGCAGAACAGGACCTTGATGGTGGCGTGGCTGCAGGACTGCTTGGCATGGACAAGGATGCTGACCAATATTGGTTCACTACTTTCTGTGCTCCTCCTGTCTACAGGTAACTTTTGTCTCGTCTTTTACACACACTGTAAACTATTTGGAGCTGGCACCTTATTCTCAATTTGTACAGCACTTAGCAAAGTAGGGACGAGGTCAACCACTCTACATTACAAATAGCATCAGCACTACACCGGGGTGGGGGGCGGGGAATCAAAACTGAGCTCTACCACATGCACTGAACTCATCGAGTTTAATCCCATGGAATGGAGGGAAGGTAAAGCCTTTGCAAATGATGAAAGACACATTCATATCTAGGCTAGAGTTTACAGCCATCAAGGAGCTAATCACACAACTGACATAAACCCTAGTCTAGACAAAGCTTTGTACACTGAAAGGGGTAAAAATACAGTGCAATAACATGGAAGACAGCTTCACACCCTTCTATAATGAAGGCTGAAATCCTTCCAGCTAAGGCTAGAGAAGACTTTAAGCACCCGAGATTCATGCTGACTTACACTTTCTTAAAATTTCACTGTGCCTTTTAAACACACAGTCTAAGCTTAAAGCCCCTCAGTTGTGGATCTACCAAACGCACACCAGTTATTTACAAAGGTCATTTTGCATATTTGGGTCCCAATTAATGCCAGCATTTATGTTAGCTACTGCACAACAGTGAGAATATGATGGTCCTCAGCCCTGTTTTCTAGAAGTCCTTCACAACCTCGTGCACCAGGTTGGCCAGTCCCCTGATTCTTGCTCTCTCCAACTATTTTAACCAATCTGCATATCCTGTAATGCCTCATGTGGAAAATAACAGAAAACGGCGTTGCACTAGGTGAGAAGAGGGAGAGTAGGAGATTAAGAGACAGGGAAGGAACAAGCAAGCAGTCAAAGGACTGCGAGACCCACACAGTCAATGCCAAGAAGCCAGAGACTCTGAAATCTTCAGCCAGGGTTAAACAACCATCCTGAAAAGTTACTTTAAAAAACGTACACATCCGTACAAAAGAGTAATTTTTAAAAACTCATTGTTCACTGAAAGGTAAGGAATAGCAGCAATAGCTTGTTCTCAGCACTAACCGTGGTTAAAGAAATCTCCAGAGACCAGGGACTAACAAGGTAAGGCAAACTTCTGAAAAGCAAGAAATGCAGTTAAGATTGCTTTTGCTCAACACGAGGCAGAAATAAATCTAAACTTCTACTGCTGTTGTTACAGAGGCTGCTTAGCAATTACTTCTGGCCTTCAAAATAGACCATTTCTACCACAATAAGCCAGGAGGACAGAGCAGGAGGCAGCGTGGTCAGCACCGCAGTGAGTCCAGCCCCGAGCTCCCTGGCTGCCCCGCAAGCTGGGTCCAGCTGTGTTCACCGGCAGAGGGAATAACGAGAGAAGGCTGGCAAGGATGAACAAGGGGGTGTGTATCTTCCCAAAAGCAAACACGCTGTGTTTCAGTGGGGAGTTGTGTTCTGAGGGCTTTCATCTGTCAGATGCCATGACTTTTCTCCCTGCCTCCCTGGCTTTCCTACTCCTCAGCATGTGTATTACTCTTCTGCAACTTCTGCTGCCATAGAATGCATGTTGCTTTGGCAATTATCTTGGCAGATCTTCAGATACAAGGAAAACATCCTTTCTGGCAGGCACAAGCCCCTGCAACATCATGAGATCAAGTACAGCAAGTGCCAGATTAAATCTGAGGTTTATCAATACCGATTTTGGGCAAAGCCTCTACCCAATATACATTACTACCTTTTCCAGCTCAGGATGTGTCAGGGTGGGGTTGCTCTGAAGCACAATTATATTTGCTATAATCCCAGATCAGATGCCTGTGTACTAAAATAAAAATGTCTTCAAACTTTTAAATTTATTTCCCTAGATTTATTTTCAGTACTGATTCAACACTGATACTAGTATCACTGTGATAAGAGAAGGCAAGTTACATTATTCTAACTGTACAAATACAATTCAAACTGTTTGTCTCTGGGAAATGTTTTCTATGCACTTTCAAGTATGGAGGCTCAAAATGACAAGAACACACCTGGATTTGCAACCAGGGGGAAAGTACCTACTGGGTTACTGCTATCTCTGCAAAGAAGCCCTTGAAATGAAAACAAACTAACCGCAAACCACACTAATGGGAAGGCTGTCACTTCTGAATTCAACCGTAGAAATGAAATATAATAGAGGAAAAGAAATATTGGCTTTATTCCCAGACACAAAAAGTAAATCATCTGCAGAGAGAATGACATTCCTCTCCTCCCCTTCATCTCAAACCAGATATCAGATCTATGGAAGTGAGTATACAGAAACTTTCCCACCTTTTCACAATCCAACTTAAGAAAGAAAGAAAAGAGGGAAAAAAACCCAAAACTGAACAGCCATATATGCTTTGGAGACTATACATATCTATTAAATACATGATAAAATTATCTGCAAAATTTAACAGCTTCCTGAAGTTAAACAACAAAATATGTAATCTCAGCAATATCAGGAATCTCAGTTCAGCTGTAAATTTCCACAGGTTCCTTGGAGAAACTGGGGTGTCCACATAGAAGGTATTTTGTGAAATTTTATTTATATATATACATAAAGGTCTGAGGAGGAAATATTCTCAGTTTCCTGACCTGGTATCTCAAGCTGGACACCTAAAAAAATATTAAAACTCATTACCCCTTAAGTCTCCCACCCCGGTCTCAGCAGCTCCTCGGGAAGCACAGTCCCCCCACTCCATCCCCCTGACTGACCCAGTCGCAGCAGCCAAGGCAAGGCAAAGAGTTGCCCCCTCTCAGATGTGTGGCCACAGACTTTTAAAGGACGAGAACAAGTGGCAAACAAAGTAGTAATAATATCTGTCACAAATATCATGTAACTGGGCTTTTTTAGCTTTGTTTTTGTATCGTCTAATACAAGGCTTGAGCCCATGTTCTGTGAAGCCTAGGTAGAATCAAGCACTTGAACAACACATATTTGCAAGTGTCCGTTCCTATTTAGACACCAAAATGAATGACCTCGAATTAGAAGTGGAGACTTTTTGAAATATGCATTTCTAATCCAGGTACTCAAATGGGATGAGGGACTTTCCTGAAAGCTTTGCTACCAAGGGGCAGCTGAGCAGTGGAAAACCCAGCTTTCACACATTCGTTACCTCTGCAGTCAGAAAAGAATAGCTGTATACTCAGCTCTCACAGCCTTCTGAAGAATATATTCCAGTCCTCCAGAGCTCTGGTATCTGGCAAATTTTCAATATTGCATACTTGCTGACTATCCTAGTGTGCTCCAGGATAATGCTGAATTATGAACCCAGCCCTTTGCACAAAGCATTCCCGTATTCTTTTGAAAAGACTTCCCTCCTCCACCCAGAAAGTTACAGAGGCGATCCAAGCCCCACTGTGGAAATACCAAGTTTGTGTTCTAGCTAAGAGGAGCACCAAGCAGGGAGAACAGAGGTTTACAGAGAAAAAAGGGACAAGCCAGGAGCCCTGCTGAGAAGTGAGAGCAGAGAGGGTGCTGGGACCACATGGAAAAAAGCTGTGCCTCTCATCCTTTCCGTGTAAAGAATTGAGAGCAAAATGCGCAGGAAATGACAGTGCTCAGGTCAGAGATAAGCAAGAGAAGCATGAGTCTGGAGGAAGCAAAAGAACTCAAGGTAAGCAAGTATGCAACAACTAGGTTAAAAAATAGATTAAAAAAAAAAAATCAAATAGATCAACAATCAGATGGACATTTACCTTAGTACTGCCTCTTACAGGCTGACTGATACTTGCTATGCCCTAAACTGCAATCTCAAACCATTAACGTCTTGGGATGAACACAGGGGATATTTTTTTAACCTCATAAGATACCTGGTAGCCACCTTCTAGCTGGGCTGGCCCATTCTTCTCTGGCATCTCTGCACAGGAGATAATTTGAAGGATGTGATGGGTGGTTAAGTCAAGAGCATGAGCAAGAAAATTTTCCTTTTCCTAAGGAAATTATTAAGCTGGAAGGGAGAAGGGGGCAGCGCTCCGCAAGCCCCCTCTCAGCCCTTGCAGGCCAGCCAGCACAAGGAAGCAAGGTACTGCACAGAGCCAGCCTCAGACGCCTACTGCCGGTGTGTGACAGAGCAGTGTCTTGCACGGCATCAGGCCATTCATGCAGGATAAAAGGGTGCCATTCTGCAGGGTAAATATATAGGTGGTCTCTTCAGTTCAAGGCTGAGCCATGGCAATTCCACTGTTACTGCCTATGCCACACTTGATATATTAGAAACCAACTTCCATTCCTGTCTGTCTAGCATCTTTTATGATTACTGAAGGCACAAAGGTAATTTTAAAGAAAATCAAACATCCCTTTCTGAATATTTTCTGTGACTTGCTTTGGAATAAAGATACTTGGCAAAATCTTCAAGCTTAGCAATTTAAGTAAGTTAAGCACTTAATTCCAAGTGTAGAGACTTAAATACAGATATCCACACACCTGACTCACTGCTGAGCATTTATAAAAGAGCCTTATTTTTAATGAGAACAAAGCCCTGGAAGTTGAAGACACTGAGAACATCCGAGAATTACAGCTTAAGTCAATACTAGACTCCGACACTGAACAAAATCAACCCGTTCTTGCTTTATATATAGCTAACTGGTTAGCAATTCCAGCCAAACATTTTCTCAAGTTTCCATAATGAGTCATACCAAACATTGGTTAGCTTCATGGCAACAAGTTTGTATGCAAGTAACGGAAGGTAAAAATAAAATAATTAAAAAAATGCAAACCTGCAGTATTTATGTAAGATCTGTATCTGCACTTAATATTAACTAGACATGTCAGATTTTATACCACATTAGAAACCATACCTAGACAAGCAGAACCGAGGTTTATTTCGTGTATAGCTGTTTTCAGGTTCAGATACATGATAGGTTATTAGCAATTTTTAGGAACAAGTTGACTTACTATAAATCAAACTCTAATATCAATGAAGCTAGCAAGGAACCATAGAAAGCACACATACAAGCAAGATCATAGTATTCTCTTAGGTAGGTGATTTATTGCTTGGCATTTCTTGGAAGTTTTCGGGCCATCAGTAGCCTAGAGTCACATGCCAATTTTGAGACACACCTCACACACTGCCTCTGCCTACCGGCATTTGAAGACTGGTTGTTAACATCAAAAACTCTACTGGTCTTTTTCCCCAAGACACTCTAAAAGGTCTACTGCTTCTATTTTATTTTTTTTTTTCTAGCTAGATATTATCCAGGTTTGGGCCTACTTTACCTCAGTGTGTGGAGAGACTACCCCTCCTTCCTCCAAAAGGAGTCTTCACAGGCTTTATTAAGCAGCTACAATCTTTTGGGAAAATAAGAATACTTAGTCTAGTCCTGAGAAAGCATGCCTTCAGGTATCTCAAAAGACTTCTGAAGAGCACATAATTCCCCCCTAGTTTAATTATGCTGATTTTTAACATTTTTCCTTTTCAGTTTGGAGTCAAAATCAATTGCCTTCTAAAGAGACTTCTCCAGAGTCAGCTCTTCCTCATACACTTTGGCTTTAGAACACTCAACTTGCAACTCCTAAAAGAGATTACAACTTTTTTGGAAATACTCACTGCTTACTCTAAGAACCAGGCTCCCTCAGAGTGATTTGGAGGTGAACTCATTTGCCCCTTCATACTACATTAAGTCTAAAAAAAACCCAACAGTGCTTTAAACCCTGAAAGCTACAAGGCTGCTTGATCAACTGCAAAACTAAAGTCACCTGTTATTCTGACCTAAAGCAATGAGCTGCTCACACAGGAGAAAAATTGGTATTACTTATTATCTCAAAAGGGTCAACCAAAGTTATAGATCCAACACATCTTTTGAGCAATGATATCTGATATTATGGCTATGCACAACACAAATATAATTTGAAATTTAGTAGTGAGCTGAATAAGATAACATCTTAAATCAAAACCAAAGGATTTTAATTATGTCAGTGCAAAAAGAATCAAAATAATGTGATGATACTTATTTACCACTTCTTTAACTTCTCAGGTGGAGACTTATTTCAGAAAATATTACATAAACAAGACATAAAATTTAGAGAATCTAACTGTGCCCCCTTGAGAAGTATGCAGAATATGCAAAAATGTACATACCAAGCCCCATTTCTAAGGGGGCTTTCAATCCTTATTTCATGACTTGATAGATATGGAAGAGAGGATTTTCAATTAAACTCTATCTTGATCCTTGTTTTCATTCACCAGTTTCATCTGAGGTGTCATCAAAGGAGGTTGTGGCATTGACTAAGAGAAGCTACAGTTGTTAGTGACCAGCAAAGTTAAGTTCACCTAATGGCTGATCAAGCAATCATAAGACCTGTGGTTTTGCTCCACTATGAGAAAGTTTCACAAGTTATGTCAACATAAGTACAGTAACAGCTATGCCTTTAAAGAAAGATTTTCAGTTTAATGTAATACAAGCTGAAGTTGAGATGGGAAGAAATACAATACCATAGCTTTAAAAACATACCTTACTCTTTGAAAACCTTGCCTTTCCATGGAAACAAGCCTTCCTGAGTGGCACCACAGGGCATATGCTGGCCCAGATTTCTTCAGGAGGGTTTAATTAATCATTGTTTAATCAATGATGATTTGAGGAGCAGTTGGAGAAATGTGTGCCCATCATTTCAAGGCAGCGTGATTCATAGGAAGAAACACAGGAGAATAGTTATAAGATACAAAAAATAGCACTCCTTTACTTTACCCACCACGTTTTGAGAGAACGTTCCCTAGCCCCTAATGGTATTATATGGAAAAGAGAAAGCTTGTTCAGCAACCTGTTCATACGGAAATTCTTGCTTTGGTTCTGGATTTAATGTAAATATAGCCCTGTTTGGGCACTCACTGCAAGAAGACTAGGCTATCAGCTCAAATTTGGTGTGACCTCCCTCTTCTAAATTGGATCACAACATCCAGAGTTTCCTTATCTTGGCTTTTGCCTCTCTTTTACCTATTCTAAAGAGCAGGCCCCAGTATATGATGTATACCTTTCCCATGCTATTTCTTAAACTCTAATATTTTTTTCAAGAAAGGAGGGAGTTGTTTCCATTTTACAATGCTTGAAATTCACGGGCAGATTGTAGCAGCCTTATTTCTTACTCCTTCTCTTGAAGATACAGATTGGTTTGCCTCCAGCAGGTCTTGATGATCTATGCTTCTCTGTTTCTATCTCTGAAATAAATAGATAAATGTCCAAGTAAGCACAGGCACCAAAATAATCCAAGCAGATAAATTTCAGCTCCCAACAACACATCTATCACCTGTACAGAGTCTCCTGTACCAGCTTCCCAGCTGATATATGTTTGACAACAGCAATTGTGGGTGGTCAAACGCTCTGGACTGGTGAGGACAGTGAGGGTATCCATTGTGTCATGCTTTTCAGTAGCAGCTGTAGCAAAATAAATTGCACAACATGTTGCATATGCTAGCTGGATGCCTGCCCACAATACTTTGCCTTCCACTCTTACAACATTAAAAAAAAAAATAGTGGCAAAACTGCATGAGATTGGCATTATTTTCCAAAGCCTGAGAAGACACTCGAGTACCTCCTGGTAATTTCAGAGATAAATGCTCATCTGCACTTTAAAAGACGGGTCCACTAGAAGCACATTTCAGATCCTGGCAGCTGGTTTTCAGGTGCAACATAAGGCAAAGTAGATGGTTAGATGCCTTCCTTACGTAAAAAGATAAGCTGCAACCCAACACCACATTGGTAATTAAAGTCCTGTTAAGAGTTTTCCTATGAATGATAATAATAGGCCTCCTGTGACACCGGCCAGGATTACCTATACGCTGTGCTATAAAGCAGCAGTTCCCACCTGAGGACCTTGAACATTGTTTCAGGTCTTCAAGAAAGATTTTGTGAAGTAAAAAAAGAGATGCTGATGGAAAGGGGAAGTAATTTTTCACAGGCTTTCCAAGCTATGAAGCAATCTGCAGCATGATCAGTAGGAAATGATCACAGACCTCATGACGACACTAGGAGTCTGTAACCAGAAATATTTGAGAAAGCCTATTCTTGCTCATGTGATCATCTCACAGAAACTATTAAGGTCAATGACTTTACTAGAATGGAAAAAATAAACAGTTTGATTTGAAATATAGTTCCATAACACTTTTTCTCAGACCTCAAATGACTTCTTTAGAGCTGACAGGTTCAAAGGAACAATACTCACTACTCCTGTAACTTCTGTTCAACACTCTTGCCTCCTCAGTTCTCAAGACAGAGTTAGAAGAAACTGAAGGGAGAAAAGGAACAGCACCAAGAAAATATGAGAAGAATTTGAGAACTGAATTGGAGTAGGGAGGGAAGGATAAGGAATAAGAGAGAGAAAATAAATTAATAGAATAAAACATAAATCTCAATCCTAGAAACAGCTTTTTTTGATCCACACACTCAAAGCTATGCATGGTTGCTTTAATTACCAAAGAGTGGTTTGCAAGCTTAAAATCAAATCCATGTGTTTGCAAAATAAAGAAGTTGAGATCAGTACTGGAAAACGGAGCCAGTCTTATCTAGTCCATCATTAATTAAACCTATGCTGGAATATCTATTTAGATCAGCTCCCTCAGATGAGTGCTATTTCAGAATTAAAAAAGATTGAACTTCACCCACAAGTGCTGTGCAGTTACCC